CATCTAACAACAACAAAGTCATCTATTTTATCTTTTACTGTTTGTGTTTTTAGCAATGATTGACAGTATATTTATACCATGTAGTAAAGCCCCTAGATTTGTCCCTATGTCTCTACTGATGCTCTTTATAGTTGTAGGTTTTACATTTAGGTCTTTAATCCACATTCACGTTGAATTGATTTTTGTACAAGGTGTTTCATTCTTCTGCAAATGGATTTCCAGTTTTGTCAGCACCGTTTTTTGAATCTATCTCTTCCCCATTTACTATGCTTTGGCCCTTTGTTAAAGATCAGCTAACTGTATGTGGATGAATTTACTTCCTCGTTTTCAATTCGGTTCCATTGATATATGTATCTTTTTTTGTATCTGTACCAGGATGGGTTTTTTTGTGTGTGAATGATATCTCAGTTAATTATTTTTGTTTACAACTGAAACTCTGGCAATTCAAAATTAACATCCTTGCCTGTGAGCTTCTTATACACACCAGAAAATGTTTTAACTTTATGTTCCACATTGTTCTGCTGTGCTTTGTCCAAATGATCCTTATAAAATAACTGCCATCCAGCTTTACTTGGATTCTCTGCCCACAATTTCGCCTGGGGAGAACAAGTCTTCAAGGACTGCAGCATGCACAGCAGTCAGAGTACAGCTCCTGGCATGCTTTGGCTTATTTTTTGTATGGCTTTTTTGAGTTGGTTTAGGTAGAAATCGCCTCTGAGCAATAAAAACCACGTGCTTTCCACTGAACATTTTCTCCAGTTCATGCACTAGTTGGACTTGGATTTTCTGGAAAGATTTCAGTTGAGGAACAGGAACAAAGATTATAATAGATTTCTGACCAACACCAACTTCAATTTCCTTATTGTTGTTTTTGTTATGTGCCATGGTGTCGGTACAGGGTTCCCGGGGCTGCAAATCTTTACAGGAGAAGAAAGCCTCATCTTTCTCCCATGGAACAGCTGGTAATTTTGAACTGCTGACCTTAAGGTTTGCAGCCCTATTCGTAACCACTACATTACCAGAGCTCCTTAGTTGCAGTTATGTTCAGCTCTCTTAACTGAGCCTTTAGGTCCGAGTTCATTTCCAGCTCAAGAATAGCCTGAGAAATACCAGACTTGAATTCATCTGGCTTTTCACCATTGGGCTTTACAATCTTCTTGCTTGAACTGAACGTGGCCTTTTTCTTGCTAAGTGCTGGCCTAGGAAGAGCTGTATCAGGATGTTTTGACCACTTTGGCTTTGTAATCAATTTTGGTATCAGGGAGTAAGAGGTCTGCAACTTTGTTCTTCTTCCTAAGCAGTGCTTTGCTAATCTGAGCTCTTTTTCCTTTCCATATAAAGTTAGTCATTATTTTTTTTCATTAAAAAATATATTGGAATCTGGATTGGGATTGCCTTATATCTATAGATTGGTTTGGGTAGTATTGATATTTTCACCATGTTAAGTCTTCCTATCCATGATCATGGTACCTTCTTCCATTTTTGCAAATCTCTTTTGTTTTCTTGTGGTAGCGTTTTGTAGTTTTCTTTATATAGGCCTTTAGATCACCCGGTTAGATTTATTCCTCAGTATTTTAACTTTTGGGTGGGTATTGTAAATTGTATTGTTTTCCTAATTTCCTTTCCTCTATATTAGTATAGAGGAATCCAACTAAGTTTTGTATACCCTTCCACTTTACTGACTCTTTCAATGAATTCCAATAATTTTCTTGATGAGTCTTTTTGGTATTCTATGTTTAAGATTATATCATCTGCAAATAGATTTCAAAAATGCAATTTTCCAGTTAGAACCATCTGGAGAATATTGATATAATGTAGAATCTGATTCAGTACTTATCAGGGGGATGAACTGGAATTAACTGATTCAATACCCTGATTTCTGTTTATCAACAATATGCAAGAGTAAAAGGAAATATTATTTTTTACAATAACATCTAAAATAATAAATTTAACCAGAAATGTAAAATACTAGTATATGAAAAAACTATAACACATTGCTAAAAGAAATAAAAGAGGGCCTAAATACATGGACGGGCATTCCATGCTTATCGATTTGAAAGCTTAATATAGTTAAGACGTCAATACTACCCAAATCAATATAAATTCATTGCATTCCCTATCAAAATTCAAATAGCCCACTTGACAGAAATGGAAAAGTCAATCCTCAAAT